GTCTTCCCAACGGTGGAGGTAGGACGACTCGGGTTGGACGATAATAAGGTATCCCACGGTATCAAAAAGTAGCAACGGTATCAGTTTCATTACCGTTATTAAAAAAAATCTGCAGCGCTTAAGGACCTAATGCAATATTATCATTTATTGATGCCTAAATTTGTTTGCTCAGCACAAATGAACATGTGGTTGTATTTTCAATTTAATACTATCATGATTTAAAACTAATAGTATCTATAATATTTCTTTAAACTGCGTGGGGAGGTGACGTTTGATTAGTTTCATTCTGTTGTCACTTGACACTCATAAGGGAGACCAAGACAAGACGGCAGGTCTGGCCGCGAGCGAGTTGGTCCCAAATAAATCTACTAGTACTTGTTCAGTTTGGCAGCATTTTGTTTACGTTTTACAGAAATGAAACATAAAACCACATGACTCATTTGCATAAACTATAAAGCGCTGATAAAAACAGCTCTTTCCTTGTGCGCTGTTGCAGTTCAGCTTCTGTCGGACTAAAGGACACGACTCAGTGGAATATGAGTGTTCTTTCTGTGACAGAGGATGTGCTCCTGATGATGAGTCTGTTCTGTGCGTGTGTCGCGTTGGAGATGGTTCATGTGAAACTTTTCAGATATTATAAATCTGCAGGTCACATGCATAGACTGTACAGCGGTGCGGTTTCGTAGCTTACCAAAGTTATACTAAAACATTTTTGTAATACGGTAATATGGTATACCCCGGGGAAATCCTGAGAAGGTTTAACAGCATCAAAATGTGGATACCGTCCAACCCTAAGGACGACAGCGCCATCTGCAGTCCGACTTCCTCAGGACAGTATCTCAGGTGTGTGAGAGTAAAAAAGCCCCTCATCCTGGTTTATCGTCCCGTGGGCACGTTTCTATATTCTGTAACTGTCGGGTATGAAAACAAACTCTGAAAAAAAAAATCTGAAAAAAGAACCTAATGACAATATTTATCGGAAGACCAAATGAATCTCATTGGACTAATACAAGCGTGGGCCTGTTTAGGTGTAGTTCCAACTAAACCAGCTCTTCATATTTAGATTGTGTTCAAATAAAGCACAGATTAATGTCCAACAAACCTCAGACAGAGCAGTGCGTACAGTTAGAATCACACCTCCAGGAAATGTTGATGACATGAACTGCAACTGCAAATGATAAATAGGCTTAGCGAGTTACATTATAACACTGTGATTCTTTTTTGTTTTGTCTTGTACGAGTAAATTATGCAGTGTAAATTGCTCATATAATTGCGGCTTTTATAATTAGCTCTTTGCAACTGTTAAATTTAGATTTCATTGCAGTTTCTGTCAGTCCTTGGAGGTCGTTATCAAAAGTTGTCACTACTTTGAATAAACAAAATAAAATAGTGTAGCGTATATTATGAAATTACCACTATCTATCCAACATGGCACATCTCATTGACTGAAATATATATTCATCATTAAAAATTATATGATACTTTGCAGTGACATCAGGCTGCTGTGTTCTACATGTGTCACTGTCAAAAAAGATTTTTATATCATCTGAAAACTTAAGAAAAATAAAAAATTGACTTAAATGAGCATTCATGGTCCTGTTTGGAGTTTAGGATTTTCAATAAAAAAGGTGAGAGTGATTTTTTATTTTTTTAAATTATTTTTTATTATTTTTTGAGGTCTGAGTTTTGTTGGACTTTATTTTAATTTTATGTGTGCTCCAGCTAAGTCAGTTCTTTACGTTCAGACTGTGATAAAACCAGTGGCGGAGCATGCATTTCACACCCAGGCCTTCAGTAGTAATGCTCCATCTGAAACAATCCACTCATCAATAACTATTTCAACTAAACTAGGTCTAAACCAGGGTTTAGTGTTGGGATGGGCCCGGAAGTGCGCCGCGTAGACAGTCAGGTGACCGCGGGCGAAAGGACCAGGGCACGGGGCTCACAGCGCAGCCGTCGCCCGATCGCGCTTTGTGGACACTCTGCTTGGCGACTCAGGGTTCTCTTTCCATCTGAAGTCCAAGATTATTCCAGGTGTAGTCCAGGTGTAGTCCAGGTGTAGTCCAGGTGTAGTCCAGGTGTAGTCCAGGTGTAGTCCAGGTGTAGTCCTGATTTATTCCTGGTGTAGTCCTGGTTCAATTCTGGTTTAGTCCTGGTTTATTCCTGTTTTATTCCTGTTTTATTCCTGGTTTAATCATGGTTTAGTCCTGGTGTACTCCTGATTTATTCCTGGTTTAGTCCTGGTTTCGTCCTGGTTTCGTCCTGGTTTCGTCCTGGTTTCGTCCTGGTTTCGTCCTGGATTCGTCCTGGATTCGTCATGGTTTCGTTCTGGTTCAGACCTGTATCAATCCTGGTTCAGTCCTTGTTTAGTCCTTGTTTAGTCCTGGTTTAGTCCTCCTGGTTCAGTCACAAATCCCTTACCCCAACTTAAAAAATCCCCACTACACCACTGGTCATGAATAACAGTAATAATCATTTTGATTCGCGTAGCCACTACAGCTGCAGTTTTAACTTCACATCCCCAGGGACTTTTGACGCCATCACCTGCAAAATATCAGTAAAGATAAGTAAATAGTGATAGATTTGAGTCATACATGCGGGTTAAAATTCGATTAAAACGTCGTTTGGTTCTGAAAGTCTCCTTCTGTGCACAAAAAACGAGGTGAAGTGTTGAGAAATTGTGGTTTTCGAGTCTTTTTGTGTTGAGTCATAATCATCGCTGTCTCAAATTAAGTTTTATTATCTCTCTGGGTACATATTTTTTACATAATTTAAGATCGTATAAATGCGAGTGGCGAGTTCTGCTGTGAGTCACCGTGAGATGAATCGTTACCAAATCAAAGCCATAATTTGAATGGACGCAATTAACAAATCGTAAAGGCTGCAATTTTTCAGAAGTACCATAATTTCCTCCTCTGAAATGTAATTATTAGTGTGTATTACTTTGCCAGTTCTTTTTTTTTTTCAGTTCTCTTAAACGTGTTTTAAATGTGAACGTTAACAAAATCCTATTATTAAAACATGGATTGTAAATTTAATCAGACGCAGTGCTTGTTTGAGGATAAGTCGTAAGGGGAAACAGAAATTTTTACAGCACTTGAGCCACAAATGCTAATATTATCACTAAAATATGCAGAGATATTTTATTACTCATTACAACTGTATTTTATTTTTACTTGTACATGTAAAGCTTTAATAATAAAACTTTAATAATGTTCGTGACATAATTTTTTATCACATTTATGATAATTATGACACCAAATTTCAATATCTTCCCATGTGTAGTTACCGGTAAATATGTAAGAATTACAACAAGACCGGTGTTCTGGTGTTTGAAATGAGCTACCCTGTCGAAATGAGCTACCAGCAGCCTAACTGACAGTGGCGTCTATTGATTCACGCTACCCTGCTGAAATATGCGACTTGACGTTTTTCTGTTTACAGTTGTATAGATCCAATAAAGCCAAATCTCAAAAACATATTTCTTTGGATTAGAGACAGAAGGTTTGACTATGACTTATGTAACATTTCGACTCATCTATCATCTGATTATGCGTAGTTCATTTCCACATTCATATTATTCTGTCAAATAGGGCTCCAACTAAAGGTAGCACAAATCGACAGGCCAATTTAACCATCGAATAATGATCCCACTGCAGAATCACCATTAAATATTTCCAGATTTATATGAATTTGGGTAGAGGTAGCTCATTTCGACAGGCCTATATCTTCTATCAAATAAGTCTCCCACTATATAAGAGAAAGACATGACTGGAAACACTGAAATCTTTATATTAAATGGCGTTAAATATATAATATCATAAGCTACAGTGTGAATTTCCTATTATAATAGAGTGATACTTTATTTATACGGCGCCTTTTTAAACTAAGTTACAATGTTTTCTACACATGGAAACAAAATAAAATACAATGTAATGAAAATGATGACAATAAAATCAAATATTAGGTATTCTGCCACAAATCCAGCACACACGTCGGCGGTTATACGCTTAACTGGTCCGTACACTTTAAAATGTACACTTTTTAATACACTTTTAAAATGTGACTTGTTGCTCCACTTCTGCTTCAGGAGCTCAAATCGACAGGCATTTAATCTGTAACTGCGCCTGAGGGTCGTGCACATGTTTAGTAACTCTACGCAGCTCAAATCCACAGTAGGGCTGGGTGTCATTAAGAAGTTGCCAATAGGATACATACCTCGATACGGTGCACTTTTGATATGATACGATACAGTATATTTCATATTGATTCAATGTGGTTCAATAAAAAATAATGGCTAAATAGTGGCTGTGATACTAAAAGTCTTTGTTAAACCACTTCTTGTGCAAAGTTTATATGAAACACAAACATTTTAATAATCAAAACAGTGAAAATGTCAAATGTGTTGCATGAACGGATTTCCTTCTGTTAAGCAAGCAGCAAAACTGTAGCTCTGTTACAAAATAACTGAGTAAAATACACCAAAAAATACTCTTGTTGATATATCGATACAACAGCCCAAATATCGATACTGTATCATCACATTAAACAATATCAATATTTTGATATTTTGGCACACCCCTATATTTGACGCTAATATCATAGGCTACAGTGTGAATTTCCTATGATAATGAAGTGATATTTTATTTATACAGCGTCTTTCTAAACAAAGTTACAACGTTTTCTACACGTGGAAACTAAATAAAATACAATGTAATGAAAATGATAACAATGAAATCAAATATTAAATCCAAACTATTCAATCATCTAATGTAGTTATTCTGCCACAAATCTAACACTGACATGTCGATTCTTAAGTTGTCCAAACATACAATAAAACCAAAACACTTTTAAAATGTGACTTGTTACTCCACTTCTGCCTCGGGAGCTCAAATCGACGGCATTTAAACTGTAACAAATTGACACGGGGTCCTAAGATAGTTTGAAAAAATGTTTTTAACTTCTTTTTTTTAAATTTGTACTTTAAAAATGTGTTTCAGGAGCCACACCACGAGGCCGAGGATTCAGTGGGGGAGGACGACTCAGGTCCGGTGAGTAAAACACAAGAGTCAATCATTTTACAGACGAAAACATGCATTTAGTTTAGTCACTGATTACTTCAAGTGGATATTACTTCAAGTGGACATGACAGGTTCACATAGGCATTACACGAGTTCACATGATTCACAAACGGTAATGAAGACTTTACTAAAATATTTGTTTAGTTTTCCAAGTGAGATAAAGGTACCACGGTGTAAACAAGGGTCAGAACTTGTCGAAATTACACAATATTTATGATTAGACTGATACAAATAGATGACGACACCTCTGTTTTGCTAAATGAAAGTGCTTTTAAAGTGCTTTTAAAGTGCTTTTCTTGTGAATTGTCCCTGTATTTTCGCTGGAATTTTGTGTGTATTAGAGCTCTACTTCCTGTGTTTTTCAACTTTTTCTTTCCAAACTACAACTAAACTGATGAAAAAAACATGATATATATATTTATTTACGTGTTTTATCCCAACAAACTACGTAAAAATCATCAGAAAATTGTGAAAAGCCGCCCTGCATATGGGATGTTTTGATCTTAATGCGTTGTAAAGTGGAGTGTGGAGGTGCCTTGTTTTGCGCACAATAGTCTCCATTGTTTTGAGCTAAAACACTCGGCGGCGGATTTGAAAGCAGCCTTATGTTCTTTAAATTAGATTAGATGGTTATGAAACTTACCGCCGTGGTGAGAGTAAAAGCGTAGTCAAAATATAAATATACCTGCGTTTGGTTTTTATTTATTGTGCATTACACCGGCCCTAAAGATGCACTACGTAACTTTTAACCTGCTTTTCTACATGACTTTTTATGTTGCTTCACCTGGAATTTTCCGCAGATTAGATTTACGTTTTAATCTTACCTAATTTTCATTTTAAATTATTTTTATGGTGCAAAAATCCACTGAAAAACACACTTTCTTGTTCTTATGAGTGGACTCGCCTCTCCACAGATCTGACCTGTGCGTTTCCCTGGTGACGTCAACTGCTAGAAATGTTTAATGCCATGCTGTGGAACATTCTCGGTGAAGCAATGTGACGAGTGGGTGGAAAATAAAAGTTACGTAGTCCAGCTTTAAAGTAGGGCTGTGTTAAAATATAAAAAAAATCGATGTACATTGTGATTCAAAATTTGGTGATACAATTTTGTGGTGGGCTTTTGTACTGATTATTGATTACTTTTTTGGTGTATTTTAACTGTAAATTGTTTTGTTACGATGCTATAAATTTGTACGGAGCTACTGGGGCCATAGTAGTTTACAGAGTCCTGAAGGTTTGCGGTTCGAATCTCACTCTTAACATAAAAAAACAACAACAAAAAACATAATTGGTTGAGAGCTGTGATGGTTTTGTGTTGGGCCGTGTGATTATTGACTCCTTTTTTGTATATTTTGCAACGCTATAAATTTGTACGGAGCTACTGGGGTGACATTAGTTGGCAGAGTCCTGAAGGTTTGCGGTTCGAATCCAGCTCTAGACGTATAAAACAAACAAAAAAGCACCATGGGTTGAGAGCTGCGATGGTATTGTGTTGGGCTGTGTGATCATCACCTACTTTTTGCTATATTTTACAGTGATATAAATTTTTACTGAGCTACTGGGGCTATAGTATTTGGCAGAGTTTGACCCAAAGGTTGGCGGTTTGAATCCCACTCTAGACATAAGAAAAAAAAAAAAGTATCATTAGTTGAGAGCTGTGTTTATCAACTTCTTTTTGGTATATTATTTTACAATACACAAAATTTATACTGAGCTACAGATGGCATTAGTTGGTTGAGGTTGACACCCAAAGGTTGGCAGTTCGAATCCCGTTCCAGACATTAAAAAAAACAAAACATAATTGGTTGAGAGGTATGATGGTATTATGGTGGGTTGTGTGATTGATACTTTTTGGTCTATTTTACAATGTTATAAATTTGTACTGAGCTACTGGCGTGACATTAGTTGGCAGAGTCCCGAAGTTTGGCGGTTTGAATCCCACTCTAGACATTAAAAAAAAAAGATCATTGGTTGAGAGTAGGGTTGAGGTTGAATATTTTTTCCCGAAAATTACATGAATCAAATCCCGGGACAAGACGACTCATTTCTTGGGAATCCTGGGAAATAACTGTGGTTGTTTTTGTTCATTTTTTGGAGCCCAGTTAGGCCTTATGTACCATGTTTTTCGGACTATAAGTCACACCAACCAAATGTGTCATGAAGAAGAAAAAACATATACTGTATAGGATTTAGAAAGGCTGGAATAATTTTAACTGGAAGTGATGCTGAGTCTGATGACAGCTGCGCAGAAGAGGAAGCGGCACTCTGTTTACCTCCGGAGGTCGTGGAGTTGCTCAGAAGTGACACGAAGGATGAAGAATTGAATGGATTTAGTGATTTGGAGTGAAATGGAGAGTTTGTTAAACTTGTTCTGTTCTGTTGTTTATGCTATAGTTATCTGAAGAACTGTTCATCTTACACTTTTTGGGGGAAATTAATTTATATAAAATCAGAGACCAGGACTTGTCATTTCATCTTGAAATGCAAGTTCTAGTAAAAACAATAGAAGAGAGAACAACAGACTGTTAATGTCACATATGAACAGTTCTTCAGATAAACTATAACATAAATAATTTAGTAAAACACACGTAAAAATACTCTTAGTGATATATCGATACAGCAGCCCATGATATCGATACTGTATCATCACATTAAACGATACGATATATCAATATTCCGATATTTTTGCACACCCCTAGTAGGGCTGGGTATTATTATGAAGTAGCCGATACGATACATATCTCCATACAGTGAGCTTTTGATTCGATATGATATATTTCAAAATGATTCAATACGGTTCAGTAAAAAATTATGTCTAAATCATGGCTGTGATATTAAAAGTCTTTCTTAAACCACTTTTTGTGCAAAGTGAATAGGAAACATGCCTCAAAGGTCAAAAGTGTCAAAGGTGTTACCTAAACAATTTTCCTTACTCTAAATAAGCAACAAAACTGTAGCAATGTAACAAAATAATTTTGTAAAATACACCAAAAAAATCCTCTTGGCGATATATTGATACAGCAGCCAATGATATTGATACTGTATCATCACATTAAACGATACAATATATCGATATTTCAATATTTTTGCACACCCCTAACCCCTAGCGAAGAGAGTTATTTTGCATGAGATGGGCCCTTTAAAGTGGATGATCAGTCAGTGCTTTTCTTCATGGACATGTTATGGCTTTGTGTCCATTTACCATTATTTCTGCGTTACTTTTGACATATTTTCTCTTTTGTGCAGTTCTTTTGTGTTTAAACTTTTCTGGATCAGCCTTGCTTAGTTGTCTCTCAGTGGTTTGTCTGCGCGTGAATGGAGTTGTGGCGCTGGCAGATTGTGAAGCATGTGCTCCTGCAGAGAAGGGACGCCCACTCGGAGCAGACTAATCACTGGTTCAGAGTGAATAAAGTCATGAGTCAGATCCTCCCTCACATTCACTCACTGTCAGCAATTAGACCGAGCCCACCATTCGAGGAAATTACTTCCGCAATGTAACTTTATTATTGCATTATTATTGTATTGTAATCTCCCAGTGTTAGTGTTGAGTTCAAGACAAGATAATGGGCTGCTGTTGGGGTTTCTCTAACAATCGTGGGCAGAGCTGAAGCACGGAGGAATAACAACAAACTAAAGCTGCACTGTGCAAGCTTTCTGGTTGAAGGTTTGCCATTTTTTTGTGTCCATGGAGATACTGGCCACGTTTACATGATGTTGTTTAATTTCGAGTTAATTGTTCTGAGTTAAATGGTCCAGAATTCAAATATTCTCCTTCGAGTTTACATGGAAATAATAATTCCGAATTGAGTTTTACATGGAAATAATAATTCCGAATTGAGGTTTACATGGAAAACTCGTTAAATCATCTTTATTTAATTCTGCTCAACGCCTGGGGTGGGGAAGGGTTCTGATTGGACAGGGACACGATGTATTTACTTCGACCGGAAGAAAACACACACTTCAGCTGCTACCGGCTTTTTTATCATCTCGGTTTGTCGTTACGCCACGGACACAAACATGATACAAACTTTTTTTCGTAGTTGTTCCGATGATAATGAAGCAGCAGCTGGAGAAATCTCTCATCACACTTCACATCTGTCGACTGAGGAGGAGAAGGGAGGAATAAGACAAACTGAGTCAACGGCTGCTCTACCTCAGCCCACTCCCACATCCCGCTCACAAATCGGAATAAACAACCCACTTAATTCGGAATTAAGTTAATTCCTAATGAAAATGATTATTCAGAATTTAAGTGTTTACATGGTCTTTTTAAAGCGGAATTAATTTGTATTCAGAACAAAATTATTTTTATTTAGAATTAAAGCTCTCATGTAAATGTAGAAAATGTTGCTTTGTGTTGAATGTTTCACAGTATGGGCTTAAAATGATCTGTCTCCCATTTAGACAAGCAAGTGACGCCTGCATGTTTCAGTTTTTAGCAGTAAAAAAACGTATTTAATTCAAATTTCTATTGTAATGGTTAAGTTTAATGCCACACTGCGCAATATTCCAGGCAAAACAATAACATCTCCATGGAGACAAGACACCAGACCCTGTACAGTGACATATAGTGCACGTTTAAGAGCATAGTTTTTGAGACCTTTGAGACCTTTTTTTTTGGATTAATGTTATAGTCTGTTTATTTTAGTTTATTTTACGGGAACAGAATCCATTTTGTGTAGCTGCAGTGTCTGTTTTCTTCTTGATTCAGTTCCTTCCTCCCAACAGAGCAGCCTCGCATGAGCCGTTTGAATATTTTTGCGAAATAATTTTGGCAAGAAAATGAAACCAGGTTGTAAACTCTACTGGGGTGTGGAATTACCATACGAGATCTTCAACTAAAAAATAGTTTTGGGAACAAATTTGACACCGAGCCAGATACTAATTTGAAACTTCACTAATTTGAGCAGATGTCATTACCGAGGAAAACACAAAAACTGGACAAAGCTGGTTCTTTTTTTCAATAGTTT